GGGATAGTTCCATATAAATTTGCAATATTACAGATTTTTTTGTTAATAAATTTTTTATAAAATTATAATATATAACCATACAATAATAAGACATATGTTGCTCATTTCAATATATAATAGTATTTAGTAAACTATATTCGAAGTAAGATCGCAAACATATTTGAATAGTTATTCAGCCTTAATTGCTCAATGAATTGACACTAAACTTGATAAAAAGAAGTCATAAAATTTTTTTTTACAAAGCTATGTTGAAATAATTATACTTTATATATAGTTTTACCAATTTTTATAATATACGTTTTTAAAAAAAAGTATTAGATTATATATATACCAGTTTTAAATTTATTTTTTTAATTAAAAATTTACTATAGTATATAAAATCTAAAAATATAGAGTTGTTAAGAATGCATTAAGAGTGAAAGATACTAAAATCAAAACAAAAGTATTATTATTATTAAGCATTAAATATCTAAATGATTTTATTAATCTTTTAATATAAAAACTATACTATATTTTTTTGATCAAAAAATCTATTATTATATAATAATTATTGAGAATAAATATGTGTTAATTCTATTGATTGGCCACCCAATATAACATTTTAATCTAGCATTTAGAACTTATATATAGTTAATATAACTAGTATTATCAATAAATAAATGATATTCTTGGGTTAATGATTATGATTTTTTGTTAATAAAACATTACATTTCTAAAAAGTACTTTAAACTACAGTCAGACCTCTATAAATACAACCTTTCTAAATGCATGTTCTATGAAAAATCTCTATAAATACATAGCCTTGCTGTATTTCTATTATATATATACTTATAGATTTTTACTTTCCTAAATGCAATATCTTTCTAAATACAAAATTTTTTAAAATTTCTATATAGTTTGCACAAATTGCATTTAAAGAGAGTTAACTATATATAAATAAATTATTCAAACAATTAATTTACACAAATATCTTCTTATAAACTAGTGAAGAATTTTTAAAAAAAATTTTTTTTTGAGAACATAACTTATAATTTTATGTTTTTAAAAAATTTAATATGCACTATAATAACTTTTTTAAAAATAAAATTTTTAAAATTATATAATATTTATTATAGAAAATAACTTCGTTTAATCGGTAGTAAGTTTACCTATTATACTAAAGTAATAATTACGTGTCAATACTTTATATATAGTTTACTTTATATATAGTTTACCAGTTATACTATAGCAATAATCATGTGTTTATATTTTACATATAAATATATATTTTTTTCTTTCATATTTCATAACTAACTCTTGAAGAATATGTAAGACTATCATTCTTTTAAGATCAAAGTTAGCTTTTAATATTCACAAAGGTTATTTTAATATTTTTTTTGAGCATAAGATATATATTATTTGAATATTAGTTAGTATTCTAAATTTTAGAGTATTATGTATAGATCAAGTTATAGTTTGGTATATTTATTAATAGATGAATCTGAATTGTACTTAAATCATGATAAAGGCAACAATTTTTATAGACAAAATAACCTTGAATAGTACTTGAACTCTGCTAAAAATAACAATTATTATGGACAAAATAATCTTAAATGGTGTTTGAACTTTGCTAAATGTAATATTTCAGATAGGTATAATAATTTTAGATTATACTTTGACAGTGAAAAGTGGCTTGCTCAATATTCTTATCAGATTTTAAATTCTCCTTATAACCAAAGTCTTACACAACTACCACAGATAAATAATATATTAAATAATGATTTTATTCAAACTTATAATTCAAGTAATGTTTTATCAATTACATTCACAGATTTTATATTCTTTTTATGATCAACAT